GAACGAAAAATGGACCAGCTTGCAAACTCTCACTGCGGAACGTGCTAATCAACTTGGTTCCGCTCACGAGGTTCAACGATTCCATCGTGACGTCGATGAGACCAAGGACTGGATTCGAGAGAAGGATGCTGCACTGAACAACGACGATCTTGGAAAGGATTTACGGAGCGTTCAGGCTTTGCAGCGCAAGCACGAGGGTCTGGAAAGAGATTTGGCTGCCTTAGGAGATAAAATTAAACAGCTGGATGAAACGGCTAATCGTTTGATGCAATCACATCCTGAAACTGCTGAACAGACCTACGCCAAGCAGAAAGAGATTAACGAAGAATGGACTCAACTGACGGCAAAAGCTAATAGTAGGAAGGAAAAGTTGCTGGATTCTTATGATCTGCAACGTTTCCTTAGTGACTACAGAGATCTGATGGCTTGGATCAACTCGATGATGGGTTTAGTCGCGTCAGAGGAGCTGGCTTCAGATGTGACCGGTGCGGAAGCTCTCCTAGAACGACACCAGGTGAGTTGATCAATTAAAAAGTTATTGATATTGAAATGGTCCAATGCTTACACGGTCGTTCACGAGTCATTCATGAATTATAGAATCACAGAGCAGAGATAGACGCACGATACGGCATACTTCCAGAGGTACTGAAAAGTTTAAGAGAGCATGGAGCAAAACTGTGCGACTTTATCTCTGAATATGTTCTTTATAATTAATCACTTTTGGTATATTTTTTCTGTTGTTTCTAAATCTCTGTTTTATGAGAAAAGAACAGATTGGCAAATCGATGTTTTAGTAATGAAGACACCGCCTTATTAACACTTATGGAGTACTATCAACGCTTCTTATAGTGTAATCGCTGCCTTTTCCGCTTATCGTAGTCTCTATTGTCGAGTGGATTGAGATACGTGCAAAATATGCGTGTGAATTTATATCGAAGATGTTAAAGTAGTATACGTGAATCTATGTGACCCTAATTTCGTTTATGTTATAGGAACATCGCATGGAGATCGACGCTAGAGCAGGTACTTTCCAGGCATTCGAACTTTTCGGTCAACAGCTTTTACAATCCAGTCACTATGCCAGTGTCGAGATTCAAGAAAAACTCGAATCTATGGCTGAAGCACGCCAAGAACTAGAGAAAGCTTGGATTCAGCGACGTATGCAGTTAGATCAAAACTTGGAGCTACAATTGTTCTGCAGAGATTGCGAGCAAGCTGAGAACTGGATGAGCGCCCGAGAAGCTTTCTTAAGCAGTGCAGACACTGTTGATAGTAGTGACAACGTAGAGGCTCTCATTAAAAAACACGAGGACTTTGACAAAGCTATCAATGCTCACGAAGAGAAGATTGCCACATTGCAGACTCTGGCTGATCAGTTAATCGCTGCCGAACATTATGCTGCAAAACCAATTGACGATAGACGTTGCCAAGTTCTGGACCGCTGGAAACATTTGAAGGATGCTCTTATTGAGAAACGTTCCAAGTTAGGAGAGTCTCAAACTCTACAACAATTCTCCCGAGATGCCGATGAAATGGAAAATTGGATTGCTGAGAAACTGCAGCTCGCTACTGAGGAGAACTACAAGGATCCAGCTAATATTCAATCAAAACATCAGAAACACCAAGCATTTGAGGCTGAATTAGCAGCGAATGCGGACAGAATTCAATCTGTATTAGCTATGGGAGGTAATTTAATCGAGAAACACCAGTGTGCTGGTTCTGAGGACGCTGTCCAAAAGAGGCTAGCGTCAATTGCCGATCAATGGGAGTATCTTACCCAGAAAACTACGGAGAAGTCGATGAAGCTGAAAGAAGCCAATAAACAGCGTACATATATTGCTGCTGTTAAAGATCTAGATTTCTGGCTTGGCGAAGTGGAAAGCTTGCTTACGTCCGAAGATGCTGGCAAAGATCTAGCTTCTGTACAAAATTTAATGAAAAAGCACCAGTTGGTTGAGGCTGACATTCAAGCACACGAAGAAAGGATCAAGGACATGAATGCGCAAGCAGATTCGCTGATTGAAAGTGGACAATTTGACGCAGCTGGTATCCAAGAGAAACGACAGAGTATAAACGAGCGTTATGAGAGAATTCGTAACCTCGCTGCTCATAGACAGGCAAGGTTGAACGAAGCAAACACTTTGCATCAATTCTTCAGGGACATCGCCGATGAAGAGTCTTGGATCAAGGAGAAAAAGCTTCTAGTTGGATCAGACGACTATGGTCGTGATCTCACTGGCGTACAAAACTTGAAGAAGAAACACAAGAGACTGGAGGCAGAGTTAGGTAGTCATGAGCCTGCTATACAAGCTGTTCAAGAAGCAGGGGAGAAATTGATGGACGTCTCTAATTTGGGAGTGCCCGAAATTGAGCAACGTCTAAAGCTACTCAACCAAGCATGGGCTGAATTAAAACAACTAGCAGCCAATAGAGGACAGAAACTGGATGAGTCCCTAACTTATCAACAATTTTTAGCGAAAGTAGAAGAGGAAGAAGCTTGGATCACAGAAAAACAACAGTTGCTATCGGTCGAAGATTATGGTGACACTATGGCTGCTGTTCAGGGCTTACTGAAAAAACATGACGCATTTGAAACTGACTTTGCAGCTCATGGTGAACGTTGCAAAGACATTTGCGAAGCAGGAGAAGCTTTGATCAAGGCTGGAAATCATCGTGCGGACGCTATAGGACAAAGATGTGCCCAACTTCGTAACAAATTGGAACAACTTGGTGCTCTTGCTGCTAGAAGGAAGACACGACTTAATGATAATTCGGCTTATTTGCAGTTTATGTGGAAGGCAGATGTAGTTGAATCCTGGATCGCTGACAAGGAAACTCACGTACGCTCAGAGGAATTCGGACGAGACTTGTCTACCGTTCAGACACTGCTGACTAAACAGGAAACCTTTGATGCCGGATTGCATGCCTTCGAACACGAAGGAATTCAGAACATCACTTCTTTGAAGGAAATGCTAGTCGATTCTGGTCATGATCAGACGCCTAGTATTCAAAAACGACATGCGGATGTTATTGCTCGCTGGCAGAAGCTCCTGGCCGATTCTGACGCGAGAAAGCAACGCTTGCTAAGAATGCAAGATCAGTTCAGACAAATTGAAGAATTGTATTTGACATTCGCTAAGAAAGCCTCTGCTTTCAACTCGTGGTTTGAGAACGCAGAAGAAGATTTAACAGACCCTGTGCGATGTAACAGTATCGAAGAAATTCGAGCCCTCAGAGAAGCACATGCACAATTCCAAGCGAGTTTATCCTCGGCAGAAGCAGACTTCGAAGCTTTAGCTGCCCTTGACAGACAAATCAAGAGCTTCAATGTTGGCCCCAATCCGTACACATGGTTCACAATGGAAGCATTAGAAGATACCTGGCGTAATTTACAGAAAATAATTAAAGAACGCGACGTGGAGCTTGCGAAAGAAGCTCAACGGCAAGAAGAGAATGACAAGTTGCGTAAAGAGTTTGCTAAACATGCTAATGCATTCCATCAATGGCTAGCGGAGACAAGAACGTCTATGATGGAAGGATCAGGATCATTAGAACAACAATTGGAAGCAACAAAGAGAAAGACTCAAGAGGTTCGTGCACGTCGTCAAGATCTAAAGAAGATCGAAGACTTGGGAGCTATTTTGGAAGAACATCTAATCTTGGACAATCGTTACACGGAACATAGTACCGTAGGCTTGGCACAACAATGGGATCAATTAGATCAACTGGGAATGCGCATGCAACACAACTTGGAACAACAAATACAAGCACGTAACCAGTCTGGTGTTTCTGAAGACGCACTCAAAGAGTTCTCGATGATGTTCAAACACTTCGACAAGGACAAGAGCGGTCGTCTAAATCACCAGGAATTCAAATCATGTTTGAGGGCCCTTGGTTACGATTTACCAATGGTAGAAGAAGGCCAGCCTGATCCAGAATTCGAAAACATTTTAGGTATATTTTATACTCATATTTATCACATCATTAAATGCAGATAAATTAGATAATTAATGAAAAGCATAAAAGTTCTTGTTTGTATATTGAAACAGTGTAATATGCTATCTTTTTGTTTATTTTGCAGATATCGTTGATCCGAATAGAGATGGTTACGTATCGTTACAAGAATACATGGCGTTTATGATTAGCAAAGAAACCGAGAATGTACAAAGTTCCGAAGAAATCGAAAATGCTTTCCGTGCTATTACTGCGGCAGATCGGCCATATGTTACGAAAGAAGAATTATATGCTGTAAGTATAGAATTTCCAAATATACAATTATCAATTTATTTGGTGTATATTAACAATATTTCATATATTCTTAGAATCTTACCAAGGAGATGGCTGATTACTGTGTTGCTCGTATGAAACCTTACGTCGATCCAAAAACGGAGCGACCAATCACAGGAGCCTTGGATTATATCGAATTTACTCGCACTCTTTTCCAAAATTAGTTGTAGTCACAACAGTTATTAAATTATAGAATATGTTACAATTAAACTATTGGATGCTTACTTATTTTATTAAATACCTTGATACTTCAATACCATATGTCTAATCAATTATTTAACTTGATTTTATTTATACCGCACTTTGCTCTACTTTGTATTGATACATATGCTATCGATGAAGAATCATGAGAAATAAATTATACTCTTTATGTATAACAATCTATACATACACATAAATTCAGTACCAATTAATTAAGAAAGTTTACTTTTTTTTAACAAGATCTTACTTAGATTATACGAAAGGTTGTTCGAAAAGTGCCTTTCTTTCGCAAACTTGTTTTTTACAGCAGTGCACCTCCATACAAACGTGAAACCAAGTCTGTGAAATGTCGCGGTGTTTATCTCAACAGAACAAAATGAACCGTATGTAATTCGACAAAATAATATAAAACAAAAAACGTTGTGCGTCTATTATTTCCCCATAAAACGAAAGAAACTTTTTGGACAACCTAATATTTAAAAAATTACAGAAAGATATAAAATAGAAATGCATTTTTTCTAATAGCTTGAACAACGTTGTACTATTTATTTGTTCTTCTATTAGGTTTTGGTAAAAATCTATTTAGTATTCCATAATCTTTCTGAGGTCCTGCTTTCTTGATATCTGGTCGCATGTCTGCTTGGCGAAGTACATCGATAGTTTCCTGAAAGACATAATTCCTAGCATTCTAATATACATATACAAAAAAATCACTTACCTTTCGACTCAATTCTTTTAGAATTTTCTTAGTCTTAATCACTTTAGCTGTTCCTCCTTTTCCTTTAGCTTTCGTTCTACGAGGTTTGAAATCTATATTCTTTGGTTTGAGATACTATAAAAATATATAAATAATTATTTACATGATTACTAAGAAATTTAAATGATTTAACTCTTTAAATACTCACCAAGAGTTTCTTTTCAGCTTCTACTTTATCTTTAAGAGTGGGTACATCTACTTCTGTTATAGCAAGTGGTTCCAAACATATTAGTTCTGGTTGAATCTTGTCCAATAGTGCTTTTACTTCAGCTTCACGTCTCTGAGTTTTAGTTTGGAATGGATTACATTCAAGAGCATCAAAGTTAGGTTCTCCACTTCCAGGTACTAGAAGCGAAGATATATTTTTCGTTGTACCAACACCTAAAACGTCTTCATATGGACAAAATTGCATACTTGTCACTGACGACTTGGTTCTGTGACGTAAATAGGGTTTCATTCCATCACCCGACAACCTATAAAAACGACAAGCTATAAAAATGTATATATCATTCTTATTATCATATAGACATAAATTATCGCATATTTACTGATGAACTTCAACAACATTTCCCATTGCCATTGCTATTTGGCCAGTCTGACTATAAGATAAATGGTAAATAGGAGAGCGTACGCGATAATTATGCACGGGACCTGCTAACTGTCTGATGTCCCATATTTTTATAAATCTGTTCGGACAACTAGTTGCCATGTAAGTTCCATAAGGATGAATTGCACAGGCAGATATTCCTTGAGTATGGCACAACATTTTTGCCAAAGGATCCTTACTGTTTGGAGACCACATAGAAACCACTCCTTTTGAATCACCCACACAAAGCACAGCATTAGTAGGATTTTGTGTCATTACCTAAAAAATAAGCAATTATAATATCACATAGTATCCCTACAGAAAAGTGTCAAATATACTCAAGCTTACTGCAATCTTTCCTAATTTGCTATTAAAAGATGCTACAAATTTGCCTATAGAAACATCCAACCATGACAAGTAACCTTCGTTAGATCCAGCGGCAAGCAAAAAATGATAAGGTAAAAATTCTAATTTATTAACTCTGTGCAATTTTTTCAAACAATGGATTTCAATTCCTTGGTTGTCATATATAAACACCCATTCTTTTTGCGCCACAGCAAACATTGTTTCTATATGAAGCCATGATACATCATATACCGATTCCATTACATTTATTTCACAGGCTAAATTTTTTGTGACCCAATCTAAAGCCGCTACATGGCCTCTCCTCCCACCTAGTACTAAGTGTCTACCATTTCTTGTATATCTTATGCAATATGGGCCAAACTGTAAATCTAATGTAAAATGCTTAGCTGCAGAAGTTATATCCACATTGTCTGCAATTTGCTTTTGTTTATATTGCACTGTTACTTCCCCAGGATCAGCCTCTAAGCAACCATAATCTTCTGTCAAAAATAATTCAGTGCGCGCAGTATCCTTTACTGTATTATTAAAAGTATTCTCTCTTTTTTTTAATTTCTGTCTTATTACTTTATTTTTTATATTGGTTGATGTCGCCCTTAAATCGATTCCTCCGCCTTTATCATGTTTTGCTAACTTTTCTTTATTAAGTGGTACTCGTTCACGATATTTCTTTCCTATAAATATTATCAAACAGTTAGTCTTTAAACGTACGCATGTGAAATAAAATTATAGTAGTGAATAGAAAAACGCATATCTGAAATATAAACTTAAGTACTTATAGGTTCCATCTCGTTTTCGAAACTAAAACAATAACAATTATTACTTTAAATGTGGAAACTCAAATATTCCACTTGATTTTAATTCTAACCAAACTACACGCGAACAACATAAGCCACGGTCATGTACAACCGCATCCCTACTTCTAGCATCTTTGGTAATCATGCGAGGCGCCATATTTATTTGAAGTTTAAATCAAAGTTTACGCAAGAAACAGTATATTCTTATTCTTTGGTGCTTTTAAAAGATGACCGTTATCCTAAATAAATTTTAGAATTTTATGTAATTGGATTAAGTATAACTATTGTATTAAATGCAGGAAGTATTAGGAAATAAAAAAAATAAATTTTTAATAATAATTATTTTTTATAATAATCAATATCTAAAATTACACTACTATTTCGTAGAGAAGAAAATATACAATTTCAGAAAAAATACTAAAGATCATTAATCAAAAAGATATTGAAATTATAATAATATTTAATGCTAAATTTTGTTAGTTTGTTTAATTTAAATATTCCCAAACTTGTGTTTTGATGCCGCTAGAGGAGCTAAGAGATTCTTCTATGAAAAACACCGAATGTGTACAATCTTAATCTATGTAATCAACGTTTGTGCAACTATTGTTGCTTTCGTTTACTTTAAATTTAATCTTGTCAAGAATCCGAAGAAATTTAATTCCTATCGGATTAATTTTTATGAAGACTGTTATAAAATAATTAAACATGAAAGCTGCGTCTGATCCAAAGGACATCCAGGTATTATATGTTATTTCCTAGAAACGCAATTGTCAATATTTGCAATATACATGCAGCCTATAACCTTACCAAAATATATTTTTAAATCAAATATTTATGACATACTATTTTGTTATATTCAAGTATAAGGAAATATATGTATATACATTTCTTTCTTATTATATTTGTATGATATTTATTTTATTAATGCAATTATTTTTCAGGAATTTCAATTTAAACAGTCAAACACTTCCCAAATTTTAGATGCATTCACATCCATACCAACTGCATGCAGTTTATTGGCTGCAGATAAAAGGAGAGGATTGTTATATGCAGGACAAAATAATAAAATAATTATATTGAAACCAGGAGAAGACAGTGACCCAGAATGGAAAATAGAATTTAATGTGCCTCTAGTTGTGTCTAAACTAACACTTAATTGTGATTGTACCTATCTAGCCGTGGCACATGGACCTATGGTTTTAATTTATGATGCAGAGGCACTTACAAAAAATGTACGTTTAATCTATTTTATATAAAATTTCTTTCTTTTGAATTATTACTGAGTAACTCGAAGCATATTGTAATCATATTTCTTTTTCTCAGAATTTACAATTACTACATAAAGTTAAAATTTCTACATTAAGCGGAGATATACTTGTGTATGATCTACGATGGAATCCGGCCGTACCAAGGATGTTGTGTACAGTAGCTAGTGACTATACAATTGGTAGTTTTAAAATAAAAGAAAAGAAAAAGGCTACAACCGAACTGGATACTTTCGAATTAAAAGAAAAATTGAACAATGAACATATAAATGCCTTATGTGCAGCATGGAGCCCTAAAGGAAAACAAATTGTTGTGGGTTGTAAAAATGGTAGTATAGTACAACTTAAACCTGATTTAAAGATAGCAAGGACAATTCCTGGCCCCAATCCATACATTGGTGAAGTTATTAGTATTTTATGGGTTAGCAATTATCAATTTTGTGCTGCTTATTTGGGTAATGAACAGGGAATTAATGTTCTTGTAATTGATGCCCCTAAAGGCGAAACAAATGCTGTTTTTACTTATTATGAAGATATTACTTATGCAATAACAGATTCAGAAGGAGAAGGAACAATTCCTCGTTATTACTTTGATCATGTACCAGAATGGGGCTTAATTATTGCTGCTAGTAGCAATAGCAGTGAAATAGCTATATTAGGATCTACAGATAAAGGTGTTACTTGGAATCAGTGGCAATTGGTAGATAGTGGCAGAGCTGAATTACCATTGATTCACACCACAGAAAGCTATCCAGTAGGTTTAGCTATTGATAAATCTCCAGTTAGAAAATTACCATGGGGGACAGATTCCACTTTGCCCCATCCAGTTCCTATACTTCATATTCTTGCAACATCTGGACAATTATGCAGCTTTCATATGGTGAATCTAAGTCCCAAATGTACTTCTATTAATTCTCCACCTACAGAAATTATTGCAATACCCCCGCAAACACAGTCAAACATTAGTCCTGAAAAATCTCTTATTATGAATGGTGCTGCAACTAGTACACCACTAGTTAAGCAACCAGAAAATACTCTTGAACGTTCAAAACCTCTTTCTGCAGGAAATATTCTGAATAAATTTATTCAGAAATCTAGTTTTACATTACCTCCAACTGAGAAACCACAGCAAGAGCAGAAACCTGAACAAATCAGTATGGGGATGAAATTGGAAACAACTAGAGAAATTCAACCTCAAGAAATTGCAAAAACGGATATTAAATTAACGTCAATTAGAGAAACAATTATGCAAGAGTCTGTGGAACCAAAACCATTTGTAGATGATGATGCTAAAGATAATCATGCATATATAGAAGAACATAATTTGTTTGAGAAAGAATTACGTAAAAGATTAGAACCACAAACGTTAGAGTATGATACAGAAGAAGAACGTCAAAAACTTGTAGACACATCTATTGTGATAGATCAGTTTTTACGGGAATTGAAAGAAACAACAAATAGTTTATCTAGCGACATAGCATATTTGAAAGCGCTATTATTACAATCATTTGCTTGGGTTGAAGAAACAAAATCAAAAAATGCAGCAACTAACGATTTTGCCACTAGAAATTGTGGAGATAACAATAAAATGTCTGATCTACAAAAACTTTATTATTACACTCAAACGCAGTTAACTCAAGCTAGTAAAATTTTAGACTTAGAATGGTCAAATCATAAATCTCGAGAAACGTCACGAATGAAAATACCTCATTTAGAGTTTTTATATCAGAATCTTATATTACATAGTAAAATTATACAAGAAGAAAAAAGCAGAATGGAACATCTTAAAAAGCGATGGAAATTAATTACTCGTAATAATAGTATTTTTGGATTAAATCATTCATTATCTAATTTAACTATCGCATCGTCAAAATATTCAACCATTCTTCCAAGAAATACAGGAATCATAGAAGCGCGATGCAAGGCAATTGCTTCTAAAACTTTGAATTTTACTCAAGAAAAACAAATAAAATTAAGAGAACATTTATCTGTTTCTACTCCAAGGATTATAAGACCTGTTAGTTCTTCAAATATTCAAGATCGTTTGGAAGAAACGTTGTCCTCTTTAACCTCTCCAAATACTACCAGCATTAATATAAAAAATAAGGTTGATCAATCTGTTTCCAAACAAAATACAATTACTAAACAACAGAATACATATATTGATCCTTTAGATTCTATGGCTAGCATTGTAGCAGGAATTGGTACAAGCGAATGCACAAGTGAATCTAACAATGTGTCAATACAAAACAAAATACAAAGCAAACAACCTAGCTTTGGCATTACTTTTTCTATATCTGGAAATAAACCTGTACAAGCAGAGAAAATATCTAGTATACCAACAACTACTGGAGTACCTCAAAGTACTAAAGCAAAACAAGATACTATTACATTAAATCAGATGCAATTACATGTTCCTGCTCATACTTCGTCTAACTTAATAAAAGCTTTTCCTAAGGTTGATACTACTACATTTGATACATCAGTGCAAAAGTTAGAAGAAACAGCAGCACAAAATCCAGCTATCCAATCAATGTGGTTGCATGCTATTAAAACAGAAAATAACTTGTTTAATGGTAGTTCATTAAAAGATGCATTACCACCAGAGACTTCGTTAGAAAAGATACAAACTACTCCAAATACTGGAGTGACATTACCAATGACAACAGCAGTAAAAACCAAAGCAGTATCTACATTTAGTTTTGCTACTCCAATTACCATCCCTGCACCAATAAAGAGTACTACACAGAGTACATTTGTTGTATCACAAACAACGAATGCACAAACAATTTCTTTTGCTTCGAAATCATCAAACGTTATTACTCCATTTAATTTAAAAATGACATCACCAGCGACAAAATCTCAAACACAAGATGTATTAAGTTTAACAGGGTCATTTATAGGACTCCAGACATCTAATCAAGCACCTAGTATATCTACTAATAATAGTCCTAGTACCGATGGAAAATATAACTGCAAAGCTACGTTTGGAAGATCTGACGTTAATCAAATTCTCTCACCTAATGAAAGTCAAATTTCTGCACAACACAATTCTGTTACAATTGTAGAAGTACCTCATACTGAAGCAACAACTTCTAGCCTTCCAACAAGTGCTGTACAAGATTTACTTGCATCTTCTGCTACACCTTTGTTCAACATTCTGAACAATACATCGAATGTTTCTGTATTTGAAGAAATGTCAAATTCTACTCCAACTACTTCATCCATGCCACTATTTGGTGGTTTCTTCACAACATCAAGTACAACAGCAAATACGACAACAACTTCTACTACCATCTCTCCTTTTCAAAGTACTTTATCAAGACCTTTCGAGAAAGGTCCCATTATGTTACCTACAGCAAGCTCCGCCAATGCTCCTACTACTACTACTACTAGTACTACTACTACTACTACTGCTGCTACTACTACTACTGCTGCTACTACTACTGCTGCTACTACTACTGCTACTACTACTGCTACTACTTCTACTACTACTGCTAGTACAACTACAACTACTACTACTGCTATTACCACTACTACTGTTAGTACTGCTACTACTAGTACTCCTACAACTACTATTGCTGCTGCTGCTGTTGCTGCTGCTGCTGCTGCTGCCACTACTGCTACCACTATTATTACAGCAACAACAACAACAACTACTACTACTATTATAACTGCTGCTACTACTGCTACATTACCTACACTTACATTCGGAACTGTTGCAACAAGTACAGTTGCTCCAGTTTTTGGTAAACCTTCCCTTACAATGAACTCTCAGTTTCCAAGTACGCCAGTAGTTCCTCCAACAGATGATACGTTTGGAAAACCAGCTACTGCTACACCTCTTTTTAAGCCTTTTGAAAATGCTCAGAGCACATTTA